CCCCCCCCCCCGCCTTTTTTTTTAATTTGTTTTTAGTGTTTATTATTTTTGAGAGAGAGAGACAATGCGTGAGTGGGGGAGGTGCAGAGACAGCATAATACTTGGTCACTTTCAAGAGTTTCTGAACTTTAAGTTTTGCCTCCTTACTTTTGGGGCCTGAGGACAGGCTGAATCTACAACTACCTTTTATTTATTTCTGCCACTGGTACTTGATCTTGTTTGTGATGCTTTCATTTTATGGTCTGCTACAACAAATTGAAGGTTTCTGCTCTAAAGAGGTGTTCATTGTTGGGGCGACTGACTGGCTCAGTCAGTAGAACTTGCCACTCTTTCAATTTTTTTTTTCAAGTTTATTTATTTTTGAGAGAGAGAGAGCATGAGTTGGGGAAGGAGAGAGAAATCCCAAGCAGGCTCCCCACTGTCAGCGCAGAGCCCGGTGCAGGGTTCGAACTCATGAACAGTGAGATCATGAGATCGATCATGACCTGAGCCCAATCAAGAGTCGGATGCCTAACTGAGCCACCCAGGCGCCCCTAGAACATGCCACTCTTGATTTTAGGGTTGTGAGTTCCAGCCCCCCGTTGGATGTAGAGATTACTTAAAAATTAAAAAAAAAATCTTTAAAAAAAAGATTCATTGCTATTTTGGTAAAGTCACCTGGAGTTTCAGAAGTTCCAGTTTTAATATGTGATTAAGTGTTGAGAATGGGAATAGTCCATGGCTCAGTGACAAAGGGGTTAGGCCTGACTACTGGGGAAAGGTAGTTCAGTACCCAGTAAAGATTAGCTATGTTCTAGCATGGACATAGCCTTTGGTAGCATAGTTTCTTTCTGGTAAAGAATTGCATCCTGTTACTAGAGATCTTATTACTTTTATAGGAATCAAGATACAGTACATATAACTTTACAGTAGGCTGAAAAAATATTTTTTGTAGGTTAAAAAAATTTTTGTAATTGTCATTTTCTTTGAGTTTCCTGATTATTTATTTTTTAAATAAGATGACATAGCTCAACTTCTTAGCAGTTTTCATTTGCGTTGTTTTTTTCTCCAAGCATTGAAATAGCCACCAAATGTGACATGGAATTTCATGTCTGTAATTTGCAGTGAGTGAAATCTCCCCGCCAGAACTTGGGCAGTTACCACTTTTTATAAATTGTGGTCAGGACACTCCGGGCTCCTCAAAGAGTGAAGTTTTGATTGTGTGTTTTGATGTTTATATACTGTGGTGGTTGCTGGCAGGTGTTTGAAGCTAATAGTTATAGTTAGATGTTATGATTATATGTAGATCTATCACCGTGTGGATAATGGAGACGTTGCTTTAATAAGAATGGAGATGCCATTTCAGAGATCCCTGAGATTAAAGAGAACTGTTGGAATACAAAATTATTTTGCTTGGGGCCTTTTTTTTTTTTTTTTTTTTTTTTTTTTTTTTTTTTTTTTTTTTTTAAGTTCTGTATTTTAAGAGAGAATTGTGAGTGGGGAAAGAGCAGAAAGAAAGGGAGAGAGAATCCCAAGCGGGGCTCCATCCTAGCCCTATAAACCGTGAGATTGAGACCTGAGGCTAAATCAAGAGTCAGACACTTAAAGGACTGAGCCATACAGTGTCTCCCTTGTCTTTTCTATTGTAATCTGCTCTGATAACTATTTTGCTATAGTAGATCTGAAAAATTAATTTCATTTTCTTGTCCAGGTGCATGCATAGCCTTTACATTGTTGAAATCAGGCCTTGTAAGTTTTGAATTGTGTTCAGTGTGTTTTCTTTGGTGGTTTTATTGTCTTTGAAAGTATTTTAATGACTGCACATGAATTGATGTTTTTTATATTATAGTTGGGATTCAGTTTATTCTATCAGGTAAG